ATTGGGCAAATTGTCAAAATTATTAATTTCTGCCCAACCGGCGTGTTGGTACGGTATGTACCGCACCGTACGGGTGAAAGTTTAAATTTTGCGACTTGCCGTCGGATTGTAAATATGGTTGACAATTACCGTCCGATCTCCGAAGAACAACTATTGTCAATCATTGAGTCTGACATCAACAGCCACGCGTCGCACAATCCTCGATCAAATCCGTACGCTTGAAAAGGAGTGTTGGGTACTTGATAGAACCTGCGCTTCAACCTAGGTGCTACGGTATATCCGTGCGTTGATCAAATACCCAAACCTGGAATATCATCTCATCTACCGGGCACAGGTGTAGAATCCTTTCAAGAACGCCGAATTTAGAATTGAAGGTCTGTTTCTAAAGAAATCGTAGGCTTCGTTGGCACGTGGGTGTTACCTACCCGACAGACCGGCGCGACACCCCGGTCACGGCGGTCTGACAAATCCGTGACCGGTGTGTCACGGGCCAGAATGCCCCATAGGTGCCTTGTGTCTCAGTGCAGCTGAGCACGCCCTCAAGATCAGGCGGCCTAGCTCCAACAATATTGAACTGATTGCATGGGTTAGGCTTAGCTCATTGCATATGCATCATGGCGGTCCCCTTGGTAAACAACGCGCATCGCAAGCTCATGCAGGCCCTCCGGGTATATATACTATTTATTTTTTAAAAACTGATATGCACATGTTGAGAATGTGCACGTGCCAGTCGGAGAGCTAGCCTGCCGTCCATTCCTTAACGCTGGCATATGTACGCATGTGCCTAATTTGCACTTATAGTATAAGTCATGTCAGATGTATACACGCCATGAAGGATCGGTACTATAGTCTCCAGCTGGTTGCAATGATACTATGTTCGCGGCCATATGCATGCATGACATACTCATGCGCAAACGATCGATCATCAGATTGCCACTTACGTCGAGTGCTTAATTTGAAAATGCAAGAGTATTAATAACGTGCCGCGATTTAATTTCGACCTGCAAAGCCTAGATCAGGTTTCACGTGCATGAAATGGTCTGATCGGATCGATCTGAATTGTCACGAGAGCTGAGTCCTTGTCCCTTATGTTACAATCGTTGGAAGCTGAGCTAGAATGACCGGATGCCATGAGATCCATAACATTTGTGCCGAAATTTTTCAGCCCTACCCTACCTCTCAAAGCGCACAAGTTATATGACACCATCAATACATGCTGCCCGGCTTGACTTCATCGTAGTGTCTTTGCTGCCAGAATTGCGTCTCCTCGTTAAGAACCGTGCCGCGGCAAGCAATCAAAGACCTATGCAATTTGTCTATGGCTAGCGTGCTTCTCAGGTTTATCCGTTCTTGATCCGGGCCACTTGATTGTAGACACAAGCGTATTATATATCGATCCGGCAAGCAGGACCGTACATGTCAGTTTTGGTTGACAACGGTGTTTCGAATTTCTGCTTTTTCTGGCACCTCGCCGCTGTGCAACAAAAAGAAGGTGTTGGGGTCAGCGGAGCATTGGAAGGATTGAGGAGAGGATGAGTAACGTCTTAGGTCTATGTCAAACAATATTCTATGTTAAGAGGAAGCAACCAAAGCACTTACCGAAGATGACACCTCATAACAGAAGAGGCTGAGCGGCTTCGTCGGCTTGGCACACAAACGGATGCTGTAGTAACTGCAACAGAGACCGAACGAGGAAGCTCACATGTAAAGATGCATCGGTTTAGTGGCCTGGGCAGGACTGGCAGTTCCTGAAAGCGAGCGACTCTTGTCATGACGCATACAACGTACATAGATTCAACACTTAACGTGGCTTCCAAAGGTCAACCTGAGGCACAGCGAAGACTAGCCCTCTATGATAGTCCATAATCTATCACCGCTATGTTGTCTGGTCAGCCTGTGTGTGGCAAAGCTCTTCTCCTCACCTGTGTGGCCGTTGGACGTTCCTTCGGGTCTAGTGCAAAGCAAAGACTCAAAAAGTCATGTGCCAAGGGAGACGCGTCCTTCGGTGTTGGGGGTGCCATGGGAGACGCGTCCAATATATTCCTGGGCCATGCTTTGTCCACGGCACGGTAATAGGGCTCCGCCTTCCACGTGTACAAGAAGCTGCGCGAAGGGTAACTGCGGAGGCCAGTTGAAAGATTAGTTGCAAGAATCGAACCCTAAGCTGAAAAGATTTGAGGCTATCCAGACACTAAAGCATCCCCGTGTCGCTGCTGCAACGAGACGACAGGGTAGATGATTGAAGCGCATGAAACATACTTGGTGTGACTCCCACATGAGCAGGAACAAACCCTGGGGCTTCCGGAAATGGTAGTGCGTTGAAACGGAACCGACGGAAAGGCTAAGACACCGATCCTGGCCCGTCAAGCAAGCCTGTGAGAGAGAGAAAGCTGCGCTGGTGCACAGCTCCTCGCCAGGAGCACAACCAGGAGGGCAAGAGGAATTGTGCAAGAGTACTATGCGATTCCTTACCGTCCGGTCAGCATTTGAATGACGGTACAGCCTACGCTCCAGATGTCTGCTTTCCGACCATCTTTAGCGCCCCCGCTGACGTCCGGGGCCGGCCAGCGTCCCTCGAGCTCCCGGACCCTCCAGGAGGGCAGGATCCCCGTGTCATTGCGGAACGCCTGCCAGATTGGATTGTGTTGCATGAAACAACCGGAGTTTAGAAACCAATGCTGTGCAAACAAGGTCTTCCGTATAGAAGCTCTTTCAAAGAATGGGTAATTGCTGGAAACTTCTAGCGAGAACTAAGCTGCATTCCCGCTCAACCGTTCGGCTCTGATTGTAAACAAGTGCTTCCGTGCATTGACGTTGTTGATGCGGCTCTGCACACCCCAATTGCATGGAACATGCCGCTCACTTTCAGAGCGCCAAAACCAGCAAGCTTGATCACGCCGTCCCCATCCATTATAATGTTGCCGCATCTGATGTCCCCGTGAATGATGTTGCAATCGTGCAGGTACTCTAGCCCCTGCAGCAGTTGGCACGTGTACACGCGCACTCGCCACTCGTCGAACCCGCCAGAGCAGGGCAATAATTGTTGAATCGACCAGGGACACACCCACTCCAAGAATACGTACAGCGATCCAGGGACGTCGTCCTCCTCCATGTTGATGAAGCTCACAATGTGCCTGGTACAATCGCATGTGTTTCGTTCGTTTGGTATTTGGTGCTAAGGAGGCTTCTAATGAAAAACAGGTGGTTTTGACAATAGTTCGGCCCTGCCTCATCGTCGCATACTCTATCCCCAATTAATCTGCTCCCAAGAGGGATGCCTTGACAAACAGCGGGTGTTCATTTGATGGGCTAGCACTCCTTTGATGCGTGGTTCTGCTTCTAAGTAAGGATACGGTGCATTAAAACCAAGCCACGAAGCCGTCCCTTTCAGCAATGGTCAAGCCCACTAGGTCTGTGCCAGCATAGTCTTTGATCATCACGGCCTAAGAACCTCACACACAGACACGTAAGTGAGAGCTGCCGAGGCCACGAAAGCATGAAAGGAGCAGATTTTCGAGGAACGAAACAACTCTCAGGCCTGCTGATACTAGGTTCTCTTCAAGCGATTGGCCTCTCACATAGACCCGTGGAGCTGCCCACCTGTGGTGCATCTTACACGACAATTCGTGCTCTAGGGCTTCCACGTGACGCTGGTACTCGCCGCCAGACCCGACGATGAGCTGGTGCATCCACTTTAATGTCTCTAGCTGCAACTCCAGACTAATTAGCTGCTTCACAATCATCAGCTGCCCATTCTCCTGCACACAAACAAGCGGAAGCAGCGTCAAAAAAGGGGACATTGATCTCGAAAGAGGCGACCTTTTTTAGAGAAGTTGTTGGAGACTATTTAGAGTAACATGGAGCTCACCACCCTCAGCTGGCCGCTCATCTCGTACAAAAACAGGAGGCAGGTCAAGACCTTCAATTGATAACTAGTTCGTTTGTGCTTTGCACAAGGAAAGAGACACGCAGTCAACAAGCACAAGGCCTGACGATAGTCGTTGTCCAAGATGAATGCGAAGCATCCATTGAAGTAAGGGGATCCTGTCAGACCCTAGCCTGACCGCTCACCTGATTCTTGCCCGCAAAAACCTTCCCATAGGGGCCCAAATGAATTTCCTTCCCCCGAGTCCACACAAGTGATCCCGTCTGTTCTGTCTCTCCCTCGTCAAACAAGCCTTCCGCACCGGGTGGAACCAGCGCCTTGGGCTTCTTGTTGGGATCGCAGCTGCCATTACACCCCACCTTCTCACACGGCCCACCTTGAAGGCGCACGCTCTCAGTGAAAGGTCCCCCCCCAGCAAGACGGCCTTCAACCCCAGACTTCCTACAAAAGTCTGGGGTTGAAGGGCCTCCCCAGCTGCTGTCCTCAGCAAATGGATCCATCCACTCCAGCTGTACCCCCTCGCTCCTCCCGTAGGTCTTGCCCGCCTGTGTATCAACCTGAACCGTAGTCAGCAGTATCATAAGGCAGTCAGCAGCCATGAAGTTTGCCGGTTTCATAGCGTCAAAAGTCCTGCCGATGAGGCTTTGAAAAAAGACAATGTATCTACAAGTTGGCGCCAACTTTAATGATCAATGTGATGAGATATTCCTCCAACGCTGTAAGGCATGTCATTTGACTATCCTTGTACTGCCCTAAAGCTCCGTTGTATGCGACATAGAAATATTCCACATCTGGTTTCCCCACATCCTTCGACTTTCAGCTCCAGCAAGGAAACATGAAAGTAAGATCTAGAACTGTCACGATCTAGGAAAACAAAGCCCTCTCACCTCTGTCATAGAAGGCAGCCTCAAACCATCGTTGATCTTGTCCCACCCAGCTGCATCCTCCTCAGCGGTTCCTGCTGGTACATTCTGCGACCCGTCTCCTTCAAGCTCCTGACAGTATCACACGAGTTGGACAAGGCTCACGATGATAAGAAGGTGGGCGTCAGTTCATAAAGTCAATAACGGCAAAGTTTCACGTGTCCCTGATGTGTTGACAATGCTGTTAGAGCAACCACAATTTTTTACAATGCTAGAAGCCCTGGATCTTGTTCCTTCTCCTCAACTGCCGTCCTGAGGGGATTATAACCTGAGATTGACATGCTCTACAAAGAACTACACGTTGATCCCCGTAAGGAGAGCTGAGCTTACCTCACAAATGTCCATCGAAGACCCAAAATCAGAGAGACATTGAAAGGATGCCATCGGTGATACCCGCCAGCTCCTTGTCCGAGGAAATGTGGCAGTACAAAGCATTCCTGTTTCTGACAAGGACAGCCCTGCCAGAAACATAGATTATCTAGCGGTCAAACTCCATTGTAGAGTGCTTTTACAATGAACGATATGCAGAGCGTAGAAGGGCCAATAACTACGATTGCTGCTCACCCAACAAAGTAAAGGTCCGGAGATCAGAGGTGCAAAGAATGTGTCATCCAAGCAAGAGCAGTCTTCAAGAGCAGCTGAAATGATCATAAGCTATAGTATCAATTGAGAACCCGAGCTGACAGACGCTTACTTGAGGGGACCAGTTTTGAATGTGAAGCATTTTATTGCTAAACTAGGTTCAAGTCCATTTGCCACACCTCGCCACACTCTTCCCAAGAAAAGAAGCATATCACATGATGTCTGAACACCCACTTCATCAGTAGATTGCTGATGCAGGAGCCAGAAGAGTAGACCTGAAGAAAGCATTCAAAGGCTTACCAGATCCTACCATCCTTTTCAGGCTCCAGATGCTGGGAAGGGGGCTCGTCATCAAGGAATGATTGCCGTCCTCTGCTTGCATTTCTTGCCAGTATACAGCCCTTACAAACCCCTCTCGCAGTTCCTTCTCCTTGTTGCCTAAACTCTTGAAGGTCTCAGGATTATTGAGGGGGATCCCTTCGGGCCATCTTAGGTAGCTCCTCAAGACATTGCACTCGTCCGAGCAAAGCTGACTGCTGAGACACCCACGTCCAAGGTCTTCCACATGCTCCTTGATATCACGGGTTATTGCCTCCTCGCTCCTCTCCGTCACAGGTCTCGGGTGCTCCAATGTCATAGCAGCACGTTTGATTAGCCACCAGTATGCCAATCTCACCAACCGGTGCAGCCTGTCTGATGGCCTTCTCAACTCACACAGCTTGAACTTCGCTCTGTTCCCATCCTCCACCCTCCACTCTGTATCCCACTTGTCGAAAACTTCTGGGTACAGCTCAGTTAAAGCAGGCTCCGAGGCAGCCATTTAGAGCCGCCTCAAACCTTCCCACTTTCAGAGAGCGAGGAGCATCAAGGCTGAGCGATTGAATGAATGAGGAAGGCGTGCTCCAAATGGCTCCCGGCACGCAGCGCTCACGACGCTCACCTGCTGCAGGAGCTGCAGGCTGGCGCATGGCGCCATAAGTGCAGGCCGTGAATGATATGACCTTCAGGCTTTGGTTGACGATCTCCGTCCGATGGATACGGCCATGTACGACCGTCGGATGACAATGGTTGGTCAAGCTCGGTCTTCTGCTGCCTTATTACCGTAAATCAAAAACTTTCAGTGTTCCTATTGGATGATGAGCGTCGGCGGTCGCCATGTGGGAAAACCACATGACGCCCGTGAACATTCGCACTGATGCATGCGACCATCGATGGCTCATTCCGATCCGCTGCAATCACCGTCCGATAAGCCCATTCGCCAGTCGTCTTGGCCGGACCTTAATTGCATGCTACACTGTGACACTGTGCCCTGCAGCCCTGCTCTCCTGCTGGCCCGAGCTTGCATCAGTGTCTCTTTGTATCTTCGTATACCCCAGATGGACCCCAGATGGACGGACTTTGGACGCCTAATTTATGTTTTCTTGCTCAGGCTCCAAAGGAGTCCCAAAGCCCATGAATTTTCGTCAATGCGAGCACAGTGCAATCGTTGCCACCGGCCGGCCCTTATTTGATTGCCGGTCAATCGTCCTCCGATTTCCTGGGGTTGCCTGCTCGTGCCACGAGGGTTCCTTGACACCAAGACGGACCAAGGGATTGTATAAGAGGTCTCTGACGTCACTAACCATAGGGTCCGGATAATTATAAAAGACGTCACTTTAGAATTGACTGGAATACTTGATACTTTTCCCGCTTACAGCGCTTATACCTTAGAACTTTCCTGATTTAACCAGAAGGCTAAGGACGGTTGTAGACTAGAAGTGGACCTTCGTACCAGGCTCCGTGAGGCATTCAAGCACACCGAGTCACGACACCGGCCTCAGTTTTTCGGAGTATAAAAGCGAGCCGATCCAACTTTCTTTCCTCACTTCCAGTTTTTCCTTTCGGGATTTCTAGTGGCAGAAGGCGGCGCCCAGGGTCGACGGGCACGGTCAAGGAGGTGACGTCAGCAGCTTGCTGACGTAATATTTGGAATTAGACATTGTGTTACTTCGGTATGGCAGGCGTCAAATGGGGAGGTCGTTTTCAGCACCTCTCATTGCGCTGAGCAGACCTTTGGCAGCTAAACTCGGAACTTCTGGCGATAGAGGTTGTCAATGAGGTGCATCAGAATTGCCCGGATTGCTAGACCAACTTGTCAAAGCCAGTCGATGTGAGTAAGTCATCTTCGTCGACTATCAACCGTTAGGGCATTGGTACCGCAAGTGATCAAAGCTGGCTAGCTTTGCATGTGAAGGCAGCTCTAAATCCGGTGGTCTCTACACTCTAGAAGTCCTAGAAGAAATGACACTTCAGGAATAGTAAGCTCAAAGACTAGTAAGATCACTAGCATGGGACGGGTTACGGGATATTCTGGGGTTTTCTAGGCCGGTGGGTACGGGTGCGGAGCAGGTAGATTTTTGTGTTTGAGCTTACCATTCATTTGAGCTTACTATTCCTGAAGTGTCGCGACTCCATTGGCAGTTCTAGCCACGCGGGAACGCGCCCGGAACGCGGCCGCAAAATCTTCGTCACAAGTGCCAGCCCAACCAAGCTGCGTGTGTTCAATGTTTTGAGACATCATGAGCGGTCACTTGGGTCGGAGGGACTCAACCCCACTGCACAGCGGCACATCATGCGCATGGGCCATGGTGGGTCAGGGGTCGAGTAGATTGGTCAGTGACCTTGGTTGGACTAGGATTGGCCATAATCACTTCATTTGATTGAACATGCCTTCTCTCAAGTACCTGTTGAGTCAACGAACATGTATATTGCTACACGCGTTTGCAGCGGTATATTAGGCATCTTATCACTCCTTGCTCGACTTTTACTACTCAGCGCTATAATTGATCTTTGCGGCGGGGTAGATAGCAATGGAGAGGCAATGGACCGTCGCCGACGCATGATCTGAATACGGCTGCAGTCTCACGTACGAAGTTGCAGTCCCGTTGTAGTTCAGCGTAGCATTTTGAATGCTTACGAGCCAACGCAATTCTTGAGTTCCTCAGTAGCGCGTTCGCAGAAGTCTGGCCCGCGGCACTGTTGCACCGCGTCAACCAATCTACCTTCCATATTCCAATCTGGATAAACATGAAGATTGGATGATGTGGACCGAATGAGATGCTTCACAACCTTATATCTGCGGGTTCTCAGGCTTGGCCAGATTGGGAACCCGCTGGATATTCGACCGATCATGGACAAACGAACCTTTTATTTCTGAAAATTGCCGCTCGCACGGAAGTAGCTGACGAACTGTGTGATTATACCCCCCTTATTAGTACCTTCTATGAATGTTCCGTCCCGTCGGATCTCGCGTTTGCTACATCCCTAAGGCGCAACATGCTCGACTTGGGCGCTCCAGCACCCCTTGCAGGTGCGCCCCATCCTAGTCTCTGCACCACGATTAGGAGGATCGTAGCAGTAGTTCCTTACGACATTTATGATACAGTTGACTCGTTAGAAACCGCATCGACGACGACCTCTTCCTATTTAAGTGACAGAGAATCAGGCGGCCATATGATGGCCGCTCATATTCAGTGCGAGCGGACGCGGCGAGGCGGTCGTCTTAGCGTCGGCCCCGCTTTCTCGATCTCGCCGCTCTCGTTCTCGCCGGTACGCGTCCACCCGCCGCTCTTCCTCTTCCCGCAGCTTGTGATTCAAAGCGTAGATCTCGGCCCTTCGCTTCTCTCTGCAATGGTCCAATGGTCAGAGACTCGCACTGGCGCAATGACGTCCAGGTGGGAAACGTCTGCTCTTCCCCAGGCAATGCGTCGGGCGACTGGGCAAACAGCTAGATGGGCCGAACTAATATCTAGAGTTTTTCCTCTTAGGAAAAGATAGAATTGGTTTTGTCCGAATCCAACTCCCATTGCAAGAGCCGACGAATTTAGATTCCCTACCTACAGAAGGAAGTAGGATCGGATGCTACGCAGGGAACGTCATAGAGGGGCACACGCCCGGGCCATCGAGGGCCGACTTCATCATGACGCACGGGGAAAAGCATCGTGCTTCTTCGCCAATCACTGCGGACGTCAGCACAAACGGTCAGCAACGCTCACTTCAGTTCGAGCGCAGTCTCGCGCCGCCTCCGCTCCTCTTCCCTCTTGGTGTCCTCCAGCCGTTTGGCCTGAAAGGAGAGAAACGTCGTAAGTTAGCTAACCGTACTTACTCAACCGTTAACCCTTAACCGTAGCTTAAATGGCCATGACTTCCTTGTGATTCTTCATGTACCCCTGCCCAAAAGTTGACCACTCACTTACGCCTCGATTCCAGATTTGACGGGCAATTTTTATGTGCAGCTTCATTGACAGGCTGAGGGTGAGTATGACGTAGCCACGGATAAGTGAAGTAAGGACAGCGCCAGGACCACACAAGAAAAGAAGGAAAAGCAAGACCGTCTGCCTTGTTGGACAAGACGGAACAGAGCGGAAGAAGGGAGACTGATATGGCACATTGCACAAAATGGATTGAGCGAAGCAAAGTACAAACAACCGCGCAGCGTTCCCACCTTGAGCGCGCTCGCCTCCTGCTCCGCCCGCCACTTCTCCAGCCGCAGCTGCGTCGCGCGCTGCAGCGCCTCCGCCCGCGCCGCGCTCTCGGGCGAAGTGGACGGGCTGCCCGCCCCGGTCTCGCCCTCAGCCGGCAAGCTCAGCGTGGAGCTCCTCCTTGCCCCCCTGGGGGGATCCCTCGGAATCCCACCAGTGGGGCTCAGAGCGCCCCGGGGGCTCAGCGTTTTCTGGGGACTTTTAGGCCCGGGGGGGCTCATAGTGCCAGAGGGATCAGGGGAGCGTTTCGGTAGCGAGGCTAGGTGCAATGGTTGTGGGGTCAGAACGCCCCGGGGGTGCTTGGTAGGAGACGTTCCGGGATGGTTGGGGGAAGCCACGTGCATGCGAATGCCCGGGGTTTGCGCCCGGGGCTTCGCTTCGGCAGCCGGGGACAGGGGCTGAGAGCTCACTGGGACAGGTTCGGGTGTACGGGGCTCTGAGGTTGGGTTCCGTTTGGCTGGTACCTTCATTCGGGCCTTTGCTTCAGTTGTGAGCGACGACATCCTTGGCGAGAGTGGGGCCTTTGCGGCAGTGTCGCCGGCGTTGGACGATGTGTTTGATTTCCGAGGATTCGCCTTCTGAGATATTGACGACGCTTCGCTTGGTGACTTAGCGGATGCACGTGGCTGGCTTGCCAACTCTCCCCGTAGTGATGCTTCTTCTCCCAAGCAATCGCTGGAGCGTTTATCACACGAAGCAGCTGAGGAGGCATCTGATTCCCTTGGGTTAGCAGTTTTGGAAGTAGCATGGGGTCCCGGCAAGGACCGAGACCGGGCCGTCCTGACTGGCGGGCTGAGCCTTGGCGAGCATGGCGGACTTGAGATCCTTCCCGTAGCTTCTGAACCCTTTCGCCTACTGTTTAGAGAATTCGACCTGGGAGGCCGTAAAGTCTTCTCTTCCCTGACCAACGAAGTGCTGCGCCGCAGAGGACTTATGGGATTATCTTTCAGGCTAGACTTCAGGGATTGTGGAGAGGTTGATGTGCATGATGGGTTGGAGCCTGTTTCTAATTGACCAAGCCGAGCAGACTCTGACTGGTGAGAACTTCGATAGTCTACTGCTGAGCTACCTAATCTTGCTTTTGATGGGCCTGGTACTTGGGTACTAGTACTGGAAGCAGATTCCCCCTCTGCAACGTCCCCTTGGGAATTCATGGGTCTCCTACACAATTGCTCCTCAAGACCAGTGACCAGCTTTCCTGAGACAACTGCAGGACCGTTAGACCCGGTCTCTGCTTGCTCTTGAGGAACAGTGGGTCCAGTGTGCTTATCTGAACCGGCATACTCCTGGCTGTTCCCACCCTTTGCTTCCTCTTGCACGCCCGCAGATGTGACCCCATCTATCAAACTCCTCGCCATGACGGGGGTCCCGGAGGCCCCTAAAAGAAAAGTGTCCTGACCGGTTTTTGACACCGCTGCCAACCCCTTTGCCACTACATCTGCAAGACAGACCGCATTCTGTCTCCCCCCTGCCTCCCCAGTTGGCCCCCTCTCCTTTCCACCTGCTGCCTTTTCAATCACAAAACCAGCCCCATCAAGATCAGCCCCAGAAGGACTCTTTCTCACTAAATGGTCCATCTCAGCTGGAAGACTTCGCCTGCTTTTCCTTCTGCCAGGAGAAGAGCTGGGGCAGCGAGCTGGTTCATGTGCCGAAGCTGGTGAAGGGAAGGGGGAGCTGAGTCGCCTGACAGCGAGGGGGGCGCTCCTGCCCTGGAGCTCAAGCTTCTCCTAGGAAGAGGATGGGAGACAGAAAAGAGCCTTTCTATTAATTCAGATCTAAAGGAGACTTTCAGGTTAAGGTACTGGTGTCTGCAGTTTAGGCTTGAAATGCCAAGATCCTTTCAGAAGAATTCAGGGAGAGTCTAATCATAGCTCTTGCAATGATATAAGGCTGCGTACTGCTCTTAAATGCTGTCTACTCAATGCAGCTACAGCCTTGATGTATGCGGTGATGCGATTCTCAGTCTTCAATTGGATTCAACAGCTCAAGCCAGTCTGACCCAGAATCCGGAGATGGCTAAGTTTATCTTCATTCAGGCTATGACAGAAGAGGGCTTGTAACGATCTTCGTATGCACCTCACCATGTAGTATCCTTCGAGTGCCGCTGTCAGGCCGCTGACGTTCTCAAGCAGGCTTCAGCATGAATTAGGGTTTCGGCAGTGGCCGTTGCTCCAGCTTTCTCAAACGAAGGAGCGGAGCAGATTCGCCCATTAAAAGATAGGGTTCTAGAAATTAAACGAAAAAATTCTAGAGGATACAGCGAGGACTTTGCTCCGCATTGCTATGCAGGTCGTGAGGGGGTTGTGCAGCTTCTTTTGAAACCAGTTCACTTTGAAGTTTGAGCATCCACAAGAGCCACTTGAAGTTGAACTTGAAGGCACTTGAAGTTGGAGGCCAAGCTGCGAAAACAGCTAAAGTATCGATGTTGCCGATCCGTCGTCGAAATTCTACATCGAAGTATCATCCAGGATACCACTATGGCGCCGTGGTTGTTGGGACGATTGATCACTCGACACGCTTCGACGACGATACGAAACCGTATTGAGGAAGCGTGATTCGACAATTCGGAGCGCTTGCTGCTTCTTCCTGCATGGAAGCACGGGCCCAGGCCCAGGCCCCAGGGCATACCCAGACTCTAGAGCTAGGTATTTGCGCCCTGTTCTTTGAATCGGAGCCAGAGTTGGCTTTTCTGATCACCCCTCAGGTCCTTTCTGCAGATTGAAAGCATTCTCCGTTGAATATCTCCATCGCGCATGCTTGCGAGGATACTAAGCGGGGATAGTGGCAGCTGAGAGCAAGGGGTTTTCAGAGATTGGTCATGGCTGGCAAGTCGCTGCTGCTGAAGTCATTTGGACAGCAATTATAGGCCTGATCCTAGCCGCCTGCATTGATGGAGGCTAGCGGGGTCCAAAGAGGGCCCCCAGCCGGCTGGCTGCAGAGCTTCCTAGCCTCGGCATCTCGAGTGAAGGTTTATGGTGCATCGGATGCTCGCGAGCTTGCCCCTACCGATGAAAGCCTGCCAGTGCTGGCCAGGGGAAACAGCGTGTCAAGTTCAAGGTCAAGCACTGGGGAAGAGCAGGTATGTTTGAAAAGAAGGGTTGCAGATGTGAATGCGAAACCCCAAGCTGGAATGCCGTGCTCTTCAGCGATGAAGCTTCAATATGGGTCTGCATCCCTGAACTTGCATTTGTAGGGATTGAGGCACCTAAGCAGCTGATGAAGATTTTGAATGTGCTGAAAGTGAGGTTACAGCAACTGTGCATCTCGGATTAGTGGACTCAACACTGTCAACGACACCTTACATGAGTGTTGTCCATTTGGATTCAAATCCAGTCGCTTGGAAGGATCGAACCCTTTACAAATGTAAGCTGGACGGATGAAATCAGATGAAGAGATGGGAGACGATGGCTGCTTGCAGATACTAGCGCTTCCTGGACACACTGATAACAAAGGCACACTTTTGAACCGCCCGAATACTCCAACATTTTCACCACTTTGGATGCTGCATCTTGAGCCCTTCGCCCTTGCATGGTACCGTAGACATGACTTAGTCACCATCCATGTTCTACGAGTATCGGCCAAAAGAGCTGATTTTTCAATACAAAACAAGTGCAAGCTTCCCCCTTCAATTCTGCATCTGAAAGCTGCCTTCTCCATCCTAGTGCATATCCCCTTCAACCTGTCCATGTTAGGCAGACAAACCGAAGCTGAACACTAGCCCTCCTTCTGCAGGCAATCGCAGTCGACTCTCTCGCCACTCCCCGTCCATCTTCCAAAGACTCCCTTACACGAAGACTTGGCCCATGGGACCTCACCTTACTAGGCATCGGCGCGTCTATTGGGTCGGGGATCTTTGTCGTGACGGGCGTTGCCGCTCGGCAGGCTGGCCCAGGTAGAGCTCAACCCTTTTCTGCCCCCACTCAGTTTTCCTTTTGGGAGTTTGTGTCTGGCCGAGCTTGCCTCAAGACTCTGTGTCACATGTGCTGGCATGCTTCGCTCCCCTGCAGGCTTCTTCAAATCTGCTATGGAGGTGATCGGATATCTGTGCCAGTAGATGTGTCAGCTAGTGCGCCAGCTTGTGACCAAGTTTTGCACTGCCTTCAGTTTGGCTGCTTCCACCCTGGGGTCCCAATTAAACAGTAGGGGGGCACTTTCACAGATTTCGGTTAGCTCCACCCTTGTGAACGCAACCCCCCTCTTTGCTGTTGAGAACTACAGATCTTATCCCCCTTGCTTTCTGATGACAGTACGCATCTTCTCCCGCATGTCTCGGTCGGACAGCGCTCACTCCTCTGGCCCACAAGGTTCAAGGCCTCAATCTCACTTGATATACCCACTTAAATCCAAACTTCTACAAATTTACGTTACGGACCTCAACGTCTTCATTCCCTGGGGACTCACGTACCTCGCAGCCTCATACCCCCCCCAATCTGATCGAGTTTCGGATTTCACACCCCCTGCAGCTGTGGCCCTCAGTTTCCTGCTCGCTGGGCTCGCCTCCGCCCTCGATGCGCTGTGCTATGCTGAGCTGGCGGCTCGCTTCCCTGCCCTCGGCTCCGCTTACCTGTACACCTACCTCACGTTCAGCGAGCTCCCCGCCTTCCTCGTCTTCTCACACCTCATGTTCGACTACCACATCAGTGCCGCAAGCATCGCACGAAGGTGGGAAGATTCTCCTCTCTTTCTGCGTCTATGTTGTGTATTGCATTTTGCTTGTCTTGGATGACGATCTCGAAGCTTGCGGTAGCAATCTGTGAGTCTTAATCTGGCAAGCTTTGTCTTCCCAAATGACGAAGTCGAGGTTCTCGAACGCTGCCCTAAAATCCAGCCATCCTTAGCCTCTTTGATCTTGGCCTTGCTTTTGAAGAAGGCTGGCCAACAGGACGCGAATCTCTGGCTCATCATTTCTCTGCTAAAAATTAACACACCCCAACTGCGGCTCTTTCCTTCGTTAAGGCGACCACGCAGACACTCGGGCCCTTGACTGCTTGCTTTCAAGCGTCCGTCGGCGATTGAACAACGCAGTAGTCCGGAGCTTATTCGCGAACAAAAGCAACCACCTCGACCTCCGAAACTCCTCATGATGCTTGTTCTGCGCCATATCTCTGCTGAACACACGCCTTGACCTAGGCGCTCGATTGAAGCGAAAATCTCTTCACACGGCCCATCGTGGCACTCTCGCTGAAGCTCGTCGTATTGGTGCAGTCTGGCGGGCTACACCGTAAAGCTCCTGGTGCGGATTCTGCCCTTCACGGCGCCGTACATCCCGCAGTGGCTGGCCGGCGGGGGGCTGTCGCTGCTGGGGGGCCTGCTCTCGGTCAACTTCCTTGCGCCGCTCATCTTGTTAGCTCTCACCCTGCTCCTCTGTCAGGTGAGGGGAAAACGGATGCAAGTTGGATGTGGTGGAAAGGGAGCCCGGCTGAAAGTGGTACAGATGCTCCTTCCGAGGAGCTCAGTCGCTTGGAAGTTGAACGTACTCCAAAGGCAACGTCGGAGGAGGTCAACCGCTTAAAACTTCGATCGTGGCTCGAAGAGGACGTCGGCGAAGCCACGTGCTTGGACCTTGAAAATTTACACGGATGGCAACACAATGGAAACTGGCGAAGCTCGGATGGTCCGACGGCTTCCGTCAACGCAGTAAGACAATTGGTACTGGGGGTTCATCACGTCTACCTCAAGAAAGCAACCGTCCTTCTTGCGACAAAAGTGCCTCCACCGCGCTCGCCAAAAATCTCGCAAGAATCCCGGGTACCTATCGCCCATTGAGGTCCATCGCTTCCGGTTTGAGTCCCCTTCCCCTTCTCCTCTTCTCCCGGTACATCTCTCGGCTCACATTCACAAAAGACTTCCACAGCTTCCAGCTCAGATCCCTTCTTCCCTGCTCCAGGGCGTCAAGGAGTCGTCCACAATCAACGCCGTCATGACGTGTACCAAGGTAGCCATCGTGCTATTGGTTGTGGCGGTGGGTACCTCCGAGGTGGACCCCGCGAACTGGGTACCGTTCGCGCCGTCCGGCCTACCCGCTGTCGTCAGCACGTCGACGCTTGTTTTCTTTGCGTACGTGGGCTTCGACGCGGTGGCCAACACGGCAGAGGAGAGCAAGAACCCGCAGGTGAGGGACGGAATGGATGTGAATCCATGTGAAGCTTTTTTAGAAGGATTTGAAGTCTTAGGACCTGAAAACGGTACCCCGGAAGCTGGAATGTTCGAGCGTTTTCTGAAAGAACAACAAAACAGTTTGCGGACCAGAAGTTACTCCAGATTCCCAGCTCCGACAACCCGCGCTTCAGGATGAAGATTGGATTCCGAAGGACGCCTGGGAGGTTTGGTGAAAAGGAATCGTGGTTTTAACGAGCTGCTTTTTCCATCACCCCTCTCACCAACGGCTTGGTTTGCTCTCCAGTGCAACTTCACGCGTCATCGGCACCCTGGTCGTGAACATCCGGCAGACGTTTCTGTCACCACTTTGCTTTTGTCTTTTGTACCCTTTACTCAACTCGCTTGCTCTCTCCCACCCCGCGCTTACCGCCTTTCCTCTCCACCAGCGACCTCGAGCTGAGCACCATTGGCTGGTTCTCCCTTCTCCCGTAGCCCTACTCAAGTCGGTTTTGATCTCTTAACCCGTGCTTAACCCCTTTTCTCTCCACCAGCGTGACCTCCCAGTGGGCATCATCGGCAGCCTGGCCGTGTGCACGCTGCTCTACGTCTCGGTCTGCCTGGTCCTTACGGGGATGGTTCCGTACACACAACTCGACCCCGAGTCCCCGCTCTCCTCCGCGTTTTCCGCTAAGGGTCTCGCCTTCATCGAGGGGATCATCGACCTAGGCGCGGTAGTCGGCTTGACGACGACCCTGCTAGTGGGGCTGTATGCACAGTCCCGGCTGTATATGGGCGTCGGAAGGTAATTTTGATGACGGTGGTGCAACTGCTTGTCTCGCTTCGCTTCGGCGTCAGTGCTTTGCATTCGTCTCTGCTTTTGAACGCGTATTCACTCGCGATGCGTGCTTGATCTCGCTGTACAAAACTGCCCGGGTAGCTTCCAGAGTGCCTACATGCGGTCTGCTGCATTGAACGCCTCGCCGGACGTAACAGTCGTTCCATATGCACGCGCCCTCATATTCACGAAATGCCTGCTGTTGCTTCTGCTTAGCTTGAATCATCCTCTCAACCCACGCCACCCTTCACTGACACCCGAGCAAAAGCCTTACACCTAGTCTTGTTGTGATGTGGTCAATACCTTCGGACACAATGGCTTCTCCTTTCAAACGATCCCCGTTCGTTCGACTGTGACGTTGGCGTCTGAAATGAATTCACCTGTTGTTTTCCTCTCCAGGGACGGCCTCCTCCCCGCCCGCTTCTTCGCCCAGGTCAGCCCGTTGCACCACACCCCGGTGCGCGCGCAGGCCTGGGTCGGCCTCGTCGCGGGCACGCTCGCGCTCTTCTTCGACGTCTCCCGCCTGTCGCACATCCTCTCGGTGGGCGTCCTCACCGCGTACGGCGTCGTCTGCATGTGCATCATCAGCCTGCGACTGGACCCGGGGCACTGCCCCCGGGGGGGGCGGTTCGCTTTCCCGGCGCTCGACAACCTGACTAGGTACGTCTCCTCAGTCAAGGTGGAGAAAGCTTTAGGTGGAGGAAGCTCTTAGGCAACACTAGACCTCGATCCTAAAGTCACCGGCTCCGCACCCGTACCCACTCGAAACCCCAGATGAATCCGTTTTCCCGTCTCCGGCTGGTTAGTTTCTTTACCTAAAGCCTAATTCTATACCTAAGTAAGCTAACTATACCTAAGTGAGATCCTTCTCTTGTTCAGGTGGCAGGAAGGGACGCTGTGCATGGCCGCGGTCGCGGCGCTCGTGTTCGCGGGCGGGATCGCCGCACGGCTCGGCGGCGGGTTCGGGGTGTTGGCGCTCTTCCTCGCAGCCGCGGCCGCGGCCGCGCTGCCGCTGATTCTGAGACAAGGGTACAAGACCCATGCGGGGTTCTCGTGCCCGCTGGTCCCCGGACTGCCCCTCCTGGGGATGGCGTTCAACGTGTACCTGCTCGCACAGGTGAGGCGCCCTGTGCTGATTCCGCTGCGGAATTAGTCAGGTTGGTGGATTAGATGATGTGGGTTGTATAGTGGATGATATGCTGACGGATTGCTAAAATGGTCTTCAGCTGCATTGTCTGCGGTGAGAGTCCAGGTTCTTCGCGGTTTGACGTGTGTTCGCTTTTAGCACCAGCTTCGACATCATTGCAAGCTGAGACCCAGTGGCCTCGTAGCAAGCTTGCGAACGTCTTGCAATCGTTTCAACGATTCCTTTATGAGCTGCGATGCCCCTTTCTCGCCCTGACACGTCACTATCTTGAGATTAATTCAATCGCGTGATCCCCTTCTCTCGTCACCAAATCAGGTGCACAACACGGTTCTATAATTTGGCATAGGAAAGCCTTTTTGCCGTTTGTGGCGACTCTTTTCTGATCAACATCACTTTCGATGCAGATGCATTGGGAGGCTTACGTAAGGCTGGTGGCTGTAACCATCCTGTCAATTTTGCTGTACGCCTTTTATGGGCAGCACCATGGCGGATCCGGTACCATTTCCACCGCCTATCAGAAGATCAATGGCGGGGACAATAACCAGGAGAGCTCATAAAACGTCCTTTGCCGATCGCTAAATTCAATCGATTGCTAGCACTGGCATCGTGATTGCGAGCCTGTCTTACAAGCACGCATATGCAAGCGAGCGGAAGGCGCGCCAGGGAGTGGCGCTTGCCGGAAACGGATGACCACTAAGCCTTTATATACGGTGCAAATACCAAACAAGTATGCAGAGATGTTGGACGACTAACACAAGATCATTGTTGCTAAACCGACATGGACAGAGGGTTTCATTCGCTCGTGAGTCGAAGAAGTTGCACATGTTTCCTTGCTAACAGCTTGATAAACGAAAATTACAGCAAGCTTAGAAAGGACATGGCCAGTATCGATGCGCTGCACACATGCCAGATTATGAATGATGCTGGATCGCCAAATTGATTCGACCGTCATGTGCACTGAATGACGACTCGATGTTTGGAGCATGCATCTTTGAATCAAGGTGATGCATACGTATACGTGCACTTTCAGGCTCTCCGGACCTATATATTCCAATGCACGCGATCAATGTTGCTTCGAGTGCGTCATGCGCGGCGGGCTTCAATGACCATATATAACTGCATGTACTCGAATCGACTTGCCGTTCAATGTGCTGAAGCGACGATTGTGATTGGAGTGACTATGCCAATAGTTCAAGATTTGAAGATCATATGGCGCATGCCTGCATGCCTCGAAAATATATAGCGAGCTATAGACACTCAGTAGGTCTATATAGTGTAGAGGTGGCTAATACTGTAACCTGATTGTCCGCTCTGCATGTGATGTGCACCAGCTCACGGGCAACCATGAACCCTGCTCAGCTTGCCGAGCTTCATTTTTCGTCAGTATCTGGAGACTACTCTATTCTCTCACATCAACAGCGGCGCCAACTATCACGAGCGCCAAATTCCTTTGTCAAGCTCAAACTAAGTTCCTGCATGTCATATTCCGCTTGGCCTACTGACGGTGGTGCAAGCCCCAATTCTTTGCATCCGACCACCTTTTGTCAGTGAATCGGTCTGAGGATCTCTGCATGTAGGATGTTCTCATGAAACCATTGTTTTGATTCAAGTGCCGTCTTCCAAATCACGTAAAGCAGCCAGACCCCGCCCTTCTGCGACTCAGCTTTCACCTGTTCCGCAGGCAATCGTTCTCAACCGGAGTCAGCAAAGAAATGCATGACTCACGGTACATACCTGCTCGAATCCACTCAATCTACCTACCTGCCTATACTAGTTCTAAACTCGCAGTGCCCTTGCAGGAGCATGTATCGAGCTAGCTCCTGCGCGTCGCCTGGCTTTTGACTGCTCTTCATCCGGACTGCACAGGTCTACAAAGCACCGCAGCATTCGCTCTGCTAGAGAGTCTTGCCGTGGCGGCACTCGAGGCTCTGCTGGCGGCCTTGGAGGGTGCCTTGATGTGGCTGACTTTTTGGGTTTCAAGGAGGGATCGAGAACGTTGGGAAGGTTCTTGACGGGCTTTTGACAGATTTCACAAGTCCTGGAGATGAGATTCGGAAGGTGTTGTGAGAAGTTGCAATCTGCGGCAGGAGACATAAGTCCAAAGGGAAGCATAATATAGATAGCACAGCCAGCGTAGTGAAGAGAGAGGGGCGTACAGTGGCCGCACAGAGAAAAGCAAACTGCTCGACAGTCTAGATTCAATTGATGTCCACAAGTACCAACGAAATTTCGTTCCAAATTGTGGCCCAGTAATGTCCCTTTGGGCAGAACAACTCTCAACCACTGGCTTCAGTTGGTTCATTCTGGATCAGTTTTCACGGATCAATTGGAAAGTGATGAGCTGGCCTCTGCTTGCACTTGAGCTGTTTGGCTGTATCAAATGTGGCTTAGTGCAGACACCAACTCTGCATCACTGCAAAGGACACCACCAGAAAGCATGTGCACAAGAAGCAACCTGCCTACTTTGGCGACTGACAATCTCTGAGCTGGACAATGAGACAAGACTCTAAATCGAAACCAGGGCCCACCTGGTCTGTTGATAGGAGAACCACAGGAGTGCGCACTCGCTATGCATGATTGCCAGCCCCTTGCTGTGGCAACCGCAATCCAAGACCAACATCTCTGAGGCTGTAACCTCACAGTGGCAAACCCTACAGATTGAGGGAGCTACATCTGCCAGCGTATTCCCACCATTGTCTTCCTGGTTTCTGTCAGCACACTCAGGTTCTGATGGCTGTTGGACTGAGCTGTTGAAGCCGCTGCCTACTTGAGCCTTGCATTGAACATTGCTGGAGTCTGAATGAAACTCCTTCTTGCTGGAGGACTCTTTCGGAGAGTCGCTGGTTTGCTTCACACGCCCAGGAGATTGTACAACCCAATTAGGCGCCCCTTGAGAATTCTCCAGGAACAGAAAGGGGGTGGTCTCCAATACCCTCACAAGCTGCTCTAGTGCTCTCTGCCAGTACCCCGTCTTCACGCCTTCCCTTCTGGTTAGCTTACAAGAAGGGACGTTGATTTTCTGAGAGGCGGCGCTCAGACAGCTTGAAGCATACTTCTGGTTTGCAAACGAGCAATCGGCGGTGCTTGGCTGAAAAGGCAAACCGATTGCATCCATTGCTCGTCTCTCAGATATCTACAGTGTACGTCAGACAATCGGAGGTTCCCTGGAGAAGCACCAGGCCTGGAACTTGTAGGCCTTCGAATAAGAAACTCATTCAGAAGCCTTGGATGGCCTTGTGCCCTTGTCCAAGAGAGCGCACGCCAAAATAGAGCAGCTCAGCGTCCTTGCGGCACTTGTCTGCAGCAGCGAGCAAACCATGAAACTCAAAAGGGGCTCGAAAGTCGGAGCTGAGCACTCTGGAAAGAGGACATGCGTTCGCAGAGCTCTGGCACACCCATGTGAACCTGCCAGGGTGGAACTGAGGAAACCCTAAAACGGCTGGTGCCAACACCCAACTGCCGAAGGTTCGTAATCGAAGGCGCTTATGCCCGAACCGCGCATAAAAGAGTTCGACATATCGACTCCAAGTAGCCACGTGAAATGGCTTACGCTATGCACTTCGTTTGGGGCGTTCGATTGTACCCGGCCGCATCTTGACCGTCCACTCAGGATTTGCTTGGTGATCCCTCGCTAGGTCAGGGTACCGTACGCAACTACCTAAGGGCTGGATACGTACATCCACATTGGCCGTGACAATCGACTTGATGAAGCTATGAAGGTACTTTGCTGCTAATTTCGAAAGTATACTGAGTCATATACAGCTGATAAATGTTGTCTCCCAGGTGCGGCTCGAGCCAATAGAAACGAATTGGACAATAATTTTCAGAAGGGACAAGACAATTGGCGGACAATGCAAGCGTCAGTATGCATTGACGATATAATTCCATAATTCGACCAATAAGGTGTTTTCTCTGTAGGTCTCCAAGTAACAATCGTAGCGCACTTTGCAAGATGCCTGAGCTAGAGATTCCGCAGAATATTAGCAAGCTAAATGAAAGGCTGGTCTCATTCTGATGAAAGGACGTTTTGTAGTGACTTCTTAAATTGATATGAGCGTATTGCTTGGGTGGCGGCCTGCAATGAAGTTCCAACCCTCTTCTCTAAGCTCTAAGAGTATTTCAAGGATATGTTGCAAATGATGTAGTATAACATCCACAGTGCATATAGGTCCATGGCGCACTAAAATCTCAAGTGGAAGGGAGGCATTTATGCATAAGCAGATTTGCAATACCACTGCCAAGAATCGTTTATAAGATCTGTATCTTTACAATGCGTGCCAAGAAAAGTTTATCAATTCTCAGAAAAGAAATGGAAGAATGTTTTTCCTGTCCTCGGGAAACCCGTCGACCTTCTTGAGGTACCAGTTTCTGGTAGCCACACTTCTACCCGACAGGTACCCAGTGGTGAACGCAAACCAACCAAATGCGTAGAAAGTCTGCGAGGCCAGTGCCATACCAAGAAAATCAACGATTTCGAAGAAGTAGTGGGGGCAAGTGACTAGCCCGAACAGGCCCCCCTGCGGTACCTGATACCCCCCATCCTTGTCCTTTCGCAGGCCTGCTAATATCCAATGGTGGTATAGGTTTCCAAGAACGCCTACTGTGAAAATTCCCACCCCCAAGGTGGTCAGATCCAAGGATGGTGCAGGGGAGTTTGTGCAAACATAGTTCTGGACGTATAGCAAGGCGAAGGTGTTGAACGCGTAAGTGGAGCTGATGAAGATCGACGTGACCACGTCCTGCTTGCCTGAGAACCTGCATAATCCGGAGTACGCTGTTTCAGCTCAACGTGCATGATTTGCAAGGTGCATGTTATCCACTGATGCTCTGACCAGTCCAGTATCCGAAGTTTCAACCTAAGATACTTCAAGCCTCTACGCAGCAACCAGGTTTTAGCCAGAAGCTTGACGATCTGACTCTTGTTGAATGCATCAAAATCTAGATGCTGTGTCCGGAATCTGACTGTTATATGATGCTTGGGGGCTGCGACCATGGTCAAGTTGACTAAACCTACTGGTCCATGGATTGCAAACCTGATACCTTGCTTCTAGTGTGAACTATTAAACATGTGTCTTGGTCAATCACAACCTTGATGAGCAAAGGTTGCAACCACACACGGCACTACAGAATATCAAAGGTCTACTTGCACCAAGCGGTTGCCAGGTGCAGTGAAAATTGGAGGTATCAGGACTCTGCAATGATCTACTGTGGCACAAGGCAAATTTACATGCGAGCACCCCGGGCTTTTTACTGTAAGACAAGGCACAGTCACATGCAAGCGCACTCTGCTCTTCCGCATCTAGACAACTCCCTAACAAGTGGTCAATAACGTGCAGACTTCTGATTGGTGACTTCTGTGGTCAGAAGATTGGCAGGTCCATCTGGCCAGTTTCACAGTGGAAGTGACAGTGCCTGCAACCACTTGCAACCATGTTTCTGATCACAGTGGAGGCAACACTCCTCTAGGCTGGATGCCAGTAGAAAAGCCCGGGACAACCACCTTGATGCCTCACAAAAGACGTTTATCCGTCAACACATTTGTCCAGATCTGTTCGGATGCGGGCCCAGAATACAGGGCCTTTAGGCCTAACGAACGAATGTCTCTGACCTGGCTAGCTGCGCATGTTGACGCACCACCGATGCAGTGTCAACATCTCCAAGCGACAACTCACTTGTGCAAAAAGAGGACCTCGAGCACCCGCTTCCAGAAGTGCACCACCAGGAGGCACCCCACCAACTGGACTCTCTCCAGATTGTCTGCATCTCCCATGGTCAGGAGCCACCACAGCGCAACTAGAGCTGCGGGGAAATAAAGCAGGAACATGCCCCACTTTGAGGGCATTTGCAGCTTCTTGCTCCCCTGGGCAAACTTGGAGTACCCCATGTTCTGGCCAGATGTTTCCAGTTTGTAGGCATTAAGGGAAGCAAAAACGCTGCTAAGTGGGAGCGCAACGTTCCAGAAATATTCTGTCCCGACCGGGTAGAAAAATGTCTCCATGGCCGAGGTGGCGGCGGTTACTGCGTCAATCGTCATGGCTTGGATTGCACCTTTCCTTTGCGATGAGCGGGGTTGTACAGTTCCACTAAACGAAGTGCTTGGTAAGGACGTGCCAAAAAGGGCCTTTTTGCTGCCGCATTGATCAGCGAGCGGAAGCCGGCGCAGACAATCAGCTTGCTTTGCAAAGACAATGCACGGCAATCTCCTGACGTCTCCCTTCTCCAATGCTTCAGGCAATCTGGAACCTCCAAGACAAGGCTGCAGACGAACCCTTGCTGGATTTAGTGTCGCAGCAGCCATGGCCCGTCTGCTCCTGAAGGCTGAAGACAAGCCTGATTTGCTAGGAGTCGGACTCTCTCCCAGAGGCTGTGTGGCAGCTGGCGGCTGTACCTGGCGCCATGGCGGGCGGGCGACGTGGCAGCATTCAAGTCGACCCCCAATATTGCAGGTTTGTAGTACGGCGCGGAACTCAGTGTCTGACCACACGCGGACAAGAATGCGCGAGTCGTTCAGCAAGCCAAATGAAGTTCGGTGTTAAATTTAGGCGAATCACAGCGCGCCACGTCATACCCCCCAAAGCCCAAAGGTGTGATGTTGTCCGGGAGGGTCGTACCAGGGGTCGAAACCTGAGGTCGGAGCCGGTACGGACCCAAATGGTACCAATCCGATCACCGGGGCACTCCAATGCAATGCCTGTTCCCGCACAGGCCTAAGTAGGGTACTTAAGGGAGAATTTAATCTTCTCCAACGAGTTAATTACAATATTGCATCTTTTGCAGGTATGGCCTTACATACATACATATCACTGATTGGGAACCAACGGGAAAACTCTGCACTACTAATCTGTTATATTCTCTTCTCCAAAAAGTCAATTACAAGATTGCATCTTTTTCGGGTATGGCCTTACATACATACATATTGCTACTTGGGAAGCTAAGGGAAAACTCTGTACTACTAATCTGTTATAATTCCTTCCCCGGAGAAGAAAAAAAATATAACACATTGTAGTACGAGAGTTTGGAACCCTTCGGGAGCTTGCTAATATGTATGTATGTAAGGTCCCTTTGGAGGCAAAACTGGGGCGAGGGGGCCCCGCCTATACTAAGGTCGCCCCTTACCTTTCCCCTACGTGCTTGCCGGTTTTTGGAAGTGCTACTCCTGGAAATGAGGGCCGACGACCCCCAGAAAAGCCTTTTATACTGGCGAATTTGGGCGCATCTGGCATTGAATTGGCTATATGCTGCCATTCAGCGCCACCAATTTTTAACCGGAGTTTGCGGCACACGGCGTCCCGAGTTGGCCGCATTATCCGCAGCGAAGTTGCACTGTGCGGTGCGGCTCGGGTGGGTTCGGTGCGGTGCGGTGAGCCGCGGTGCCGACCAGTGCGAGCGGTGCCACGTGTACACTGTGCACCGATCGGCGCGGTGCGGTGTAGTGCGGTGCGGTGAGGTGCTTTGCGAACTGGCGCCACGTTTGCAGTGTGCACCGATCGGTGCGGGGCGGTGCGGTGCGGTGTGTATCCAAGATTTGCCAGCCAAATATTGTCCAGCCATATTGTCCAGCCATATTGTCCAGCCAAATATTGCCGCGAGAGGGTCACCTGTCCAACCCGTTTTTCCTGTCCTCATGTCGATTCACGCGGTCAATCACAAAAATCACCATATATCGGGTGAAATGGTCAAACATAAGCGGGGACACAAGATTCACTTGTCCGTCCTGTCCTCCTTTCGACTCGCTCTGTTCGTAATATTCGAACATTCTACA